AACGCTTCTAGAAATAAGGAAAAAAGAAAGAAAAAGAAACCAAAACTTAGCTGATATAGACTGCAGCAACAGAATATAAAAGAAAATCGTTAATTCAACTTCCAAAAACAGTAAACGCAGCCAAATGAAGTAAAAATTTGAAATAATTCAAGAAATCGAATAGTTATTTTACCAAAATGATGGTGAAATCATGTTAATTTAAGTAGAATTTTTTAAATAGAATTATATAAAGATAAAGATGGCAAGCAAATATTTAGAATAAGTAATCTATTTGTTTTTTATTCTATTTCCAAACGAGTTTTTGGCAAAATGCGTGATTTAAAATACGAGAGAATTCAAGCAATGAATAAGAATTTTGATCAATTCATTAATACATAATATATGCTAATAGATGTAAATAGTATTAAATAAATATCAAATTATAATTTAAATTTGAACTCCTGTAGATCTTGCGATTTTTTATGATAACATAAAAACCGAAGAATGTACTTTGAGTTAAATCCATTAAAATGTTATCAGAAAAATTTAAAACATATTAATTAAGCATCAAAAAGAGAAATTTATATTCAAAACGAAAACATTCCACACCTAATTAATAAAACTGCTTTGACAAATAATCGGTCGAGCCCAATCCTCTTAACGCGCTCGATTTGTCTACTGACTGAATGCCGAAAGCCGGGAAGGCATCAAGACGCAACACCAGAAACCCATCTTAAGTTAATGTTTCCCATAGGCAGAGGGTACTTAAACTAATTTGGACTTGTCAGAGTGTAAGTTTCTGCAGTTTATGTTGGGACAGTTTTAGAAATAGTGCGTCGGAGTGAGTATTAAATGCGCGCGACATGAAGACCGGGGTGATTGTTATTTTTGTGGTTTTCTGTTTTTGTAAAGCAGGTACGTTTATTTTTTTATTCGGTGTTATATTAAAATAAATTAATGTAGATTACATATTATACCAATTTTTTGTCTTTCGCCAGTACGTTTGGCATAATACTTGCATTTTCCTTAATTCTTCGCTGCTGTTGAACTCATCTTATTACAATACACTTTTTTGCATATGTAACACACACTATTACACTTCATTGTTGCAGATTTATATTCTGTATTTCAGATAATGCTTCTATTTAATTTTTTGTCTATTTAATCTTAATTTAATTTTAATTTAATTTAATTTTTTTATATATTATATTTTGTGCATTCTTCTCATATCCGTTTTACATAAGATTTATTTATTTCTGCGTGTTTCTGGCCCTGTTTGAACTATTCTCTTATCGTGTTTTCTCTAGCATTAGAATTTATATATATATATATATATATATATATATATATATATATATATATATATATTTATATAACAATTCATTGTGTTGGTGTGTCGGGTATGCGGTCTGATATTAAAAAAAACTCTTTTTTCTTTTATTACTCTATATTTTGCTGATTTTTAGGAGACAACTAAAATATGGTTAAAATGTATATAAATATCAGGTGAAAATAAATAATGATTAACTTTCAGATTTAGAGTTAAAAATATTTAAAAATGTACATATATAATATATTCAAAACAGTATTGCTTAAAGCACCTAGTCACTAGTAATTAAATTAAAAAAAAATTGCAAACTAAAACAACTAAAAAATAATTAAAGCACAATAAAATTACACATTAAAAATATACAGGGTGATTTAAAATATAATTGTAAACAGAAAAATTATTTGAACATGATGATTGAACATTGATGCCCAGTTTTTAAGTAATGGCCAACTGCCGCACATGTATTCTTCTTCTTTGTGCAGTCACTTTTGTGTGTGACCCTTTGTTTTAGCCATTGAGAAATTTGGCCAACATAACAGCTCTGGCAATCCAAACAAGGCAGTTTGTACCTAGATAACATTAGTTTTATTTACAGTTGGTGTCTTGTATTTTACTTTTTTTTTATTTACTAATAATAGTCGCTTCAATCACCTGGGTCATTAGCGACATTAGTTTACATTAGTTACATTATATTAAATGATATAAAGATGTTTAGAAATCTAATTAAGTTTTTAGTATTTAAATGTTCACCTAATACTGTTTTTAAGTCACTGGAAATATTGTTATTTTGTCTGTTAACTGTATATTTTCCACATTCTGTTAGGAGGTGTTTAACAGTAATATTGACTTGACAGTAATCACACACTGGAATGTCTTCTTTACTTATTAGGTGCTTATGAGTAATATTGGTATGACCTAATCGAAGTTGAGAAATTTTGACTTGGTCAGCTCTTTTTAAGTTTACTAGGCGCCACGGTTTCACTGGCGATTTAATTTCTTTTAATTTAGATTCCGATAAGTTCCACTTATTTTGCCACGCACTAATCACTTTTTCTTTAACAAACTGTTTTATATCACTGCAGATAGTCTTTGACACTATTATAGCTTGATCATTTTTGGTAGCTTCTCTTGCTTGGAGGTCTGCGTTTTCATTACCTTGTATTCCTGTGTGAGATGGAACCCACATAAATTTGACTTCTAAACCAGATTCTTGTAAGGCAGCAAGTTCTTTCTTGACAAGTAAGGCTATAGGGTTCTTAGTATATAGTTGACCGATTGTTGTTAAGGAGTTTAGAGAATCTGTGATAATGACGGAAGAAGAATGGTTTGTACTTTTGATATGAATGAGGGCTTGTAATATTGCATATAATTCTGCTGTGTATATAGAAGTGGCTGGCAATAATTTAAATTGGGAAGAGGAATATGGAGTAACAAATGCTGCTCCTACGTCATTTGCAGATTTGGAGGCATCTGTATAAATGCAAAAGCTTTTCCCGTAAGTCTCGAGTTCCTTTAAACATGACTGTCGGATTACAGTGGGTGATGTATCTGAGTTGTTATATTGGAGTAGCGTCGTATTGATTTCGGGAATCATGATTAACCAGGGAGGTGGAGTTTTTACATTTGAAGGAAAGAGGTCAGAAATTTGGAGTTGTAGATCTTTTAAATGTCTTCGAACTCTTTCGTAGAATGGTGGATCGAACCTACTTTTGCTATATGCTTCTAGGTAACGGTCCGTAAATGCATTTTGAAATACTGGGTGGAATTTGTTGCTGGCGACTGATGCTGCATACGAAAGGCATAAATAATTTCTTCGTAGATTAAGAGGTGGCTCTCCTGTAAGGCATTGGAGATTCTTAACTGGTGTGTTTTTAAATGCACCTATGGCAATGCGAAGTGCTATTAACAACAATGCTTTAACCCACATGTTGGCTATGATATGTTTACAATACATTCGTCATTTGGCCCCATGGCAGGGATGCTTTAAAACGGATTCATCCCTACCGTTTCTCGACGTTATTATAAAGAAAACTCAATCCCAAGGTTTTCATCACTTTGTTTATTGAAATCCCACCCATAGCAATCGTTACTTGCATGCCAATTCTCATCCTCCGTCTTTACAAATTAATTTAGTCATCACTACCCTTGTCTCGGCCATCCACTAACGCCCTCCATCCTCTACGATCTTGCGCTTCTATTTCCCATTGTTGTACCCCAATTTTAGATAAATCGGCTTCAACATCACCCTTTCATCTTTTTCTCGGTCGGCCTACTGATCTTCTACCATCTGGTCTTTCAAAAAACACTGTCTTTAACACTCTGTCTTTCTCTGATCCTACCACGTGACATGCCCATCTTATTCGGTTTGCCTTGATATGTCTAACTATGTTTCAGTTCAACTACTTTTCAGGTCAATACAAGGTCACCAATTCAGCATCGCGGCGTCTTCTCCAATCCAGTGTGAATTCATCTCTTTTGAGGGCCAAATATTATTCTAAGAACCTTTCTTTCAAATACTAGAAGCTTATTGATTTTCCGCTGGTTAAGAATCAATATTTCACTGCCATATGTAATAATTGGGCGAATAATCGATGATATTTACCCCTCAACAAAAACTTTCATCTCTTGTCCGGTCAATCAAGGACAACATTCCAAATGAACAGCACAGAGTTTATGAAATTCCTTGTGCAGTTTACCCCGATCTTATATAGGCCAAACAAATCGTAGAATTTAAAATGGGATTTATGAACATTTCATCTCTGTTCGCAACTCTGATTCAACTTTAGCTCTAGGTCAAAACCATCATCATACAGGTCACAAAATTGATTTTGAAAACTCCAGAACCATAGCCCCCATTCGCTTTTATAAACCAAGAATTAATTATCTGAGAATCCATAGAAATTGAACAAGGCCAAATTGTCTTAATAAAAGAGATGACGACATGCGGTTACCTCGCATAAAAAAATATAGTCCTTATCGTTGGTCGATAACTTATTAACATGAATAGAGATACAGCACATTATCAAAATATTACAATTAATTCATTATCTTTTTTTTGAATAAATTGTTGCCAATTTCTTAAAATAGAATAGATTGTAACTTTTATTCATTCCTTTTTCTGATCCATGACCTCATTAGTACGTCAGTTCATTCCAGATAGTATGCCAATTGTCCGTCAATGATAATTATCAACAAATCTGTGCATTTTATTCGATTGTTTGTATAAATATCATTATATTTATCTATCAACGAAACCGCAAATTCCTTGCTTTTGAAAATAATTCTGTAATCTAAAATCGTGTGTATAAGCTAACAAAAATAATCAAACCACAATGATTGTATAGTTTTGCTAATAAAAGAAATAAATAATCAAAATAACGAGAAACTGTAATATTGTAAACTTGCAATAATTATATACGTATATTAATATTCAGCATAAATACAATATTTGTGGATTTTACTATACATCCGTGTTTTATGACCGAACCAGGCCAATTGTTTCTCCTTTATTGTGTCAAACAACGATTTAATTTTTAGTCTGTTTCTTATTTCTTCATTTCTGAGTCTGTCCTTTTTGTCCTTATCGTTCTTCTGAGGTATTTCATCTGTGGGCGTACTTCTATTGGGATAATCGATTTCCTCTTGAGGTATCTCAACCCAAGCTACTTGTATCTCGTAGTAAAGAGCTGCTATGGAAGATAAATTAAACGAAATAATCTTCTTAATGTCTCAGACGTGTTCAATGGGTGAAAGATCAGAAGGCAACATCCGGCCCACCTCCATAAGGGCCCACCATCTTCTTGATGTAACGTACGGCGATCATGTTACCTCTGATGAGCACCATAGGAATATACGTCCATACCAAAATTTCAACAATACGGTACGCATATCTTTTCATAGAGCATTAAGGATCTTGTCGTTCACCGCGTCGTCTACTCACGGTAGTAAGGCCATTATCCATGTGAAGACATTACATTATCCAAAAAATAATCTGGATTCATCTCTAAAAAGAATATTCTACACTAAACCAGTCAATTAATTCGGTGCCAAAGAGTGAGATGACAAACGGGATGGTATGAAGTAAGTCCAAAACTTTTGATTTAACGTTAAATAGTTCCATGCTCCCCAAACTATTGGTCTCAAATTGACTTTGTGGACATTGACTTTGTGGCCATCCCATAGGGACAAAGACCTAAGGCGGTGATTTTCTTCTTACACTAGGCATAAAGCCAGGTTTACAGGTATCCAGTAACTTGAACTAGTCTCACTGGCACCCCAATTTCTACTTGCTGAAGTCAGCCGTTAGTTGTACTCTTCACAGGTACGCCAGCGACTTAACGATGTGTCTATACATGTCTACAACCGCTGGCGCTGTCTCGGAGTTAGAGCAGAAAAAATAGACCGGCTCTCTATTCGTGACAGCGCTGGCAGTGTGTACATGATGCCACTACTGTGGCAGTAGCTGGCGAAAATCTCGCTAACATGCCAGTGCTTGACTGGGACATAACTGAACAAGCACGTTTACACGTATCTAGTAGCTGACACCAATCTCACAGGGACGCCAATTCCTAATTGGCGAAGTCAGCCATTTGTTGTACTCTTTGTAGCTATGCCAGTGACTGGAATTATGGACAGTTCCTCACAACATATTGTACGATGATCAAATGCCATTGATATGCAACTCTAATATCTTTAAACATGTGATAGAGGTATGTCGTTCCTCTTTTCTCCATAAAAGTTCTGTCTTTTTCTTGTTTTTGGTCAACTTGTTTATCCAAAATTCTTTAAATTATCAATACTTTACTCGTGTTCTGTCCATTAAAGACAAACGAACCAATAATTTTCAATAATATTAATGCTTATCGTAAAATCACTTTCGATTTTATATATCCATCAATTTCTAAAACATGCCAATTAAGTATTATTTTTGAAACTGCTATTTAAAGTATAGAAAATGGTGTATTTTAATGCTTTTTACGCATTTTTCTGTTTGGCTCCTAGATACATTATTTTACCTTTACTCTGGTCAAAACTATACTTAAGTCGTCAGCGACGAAAATGTCACTGAACCTCTAAAAATCATACGAACAAGCTGAATTTTGTTGAGCATATTAATTTTGGTACCCCAAAAAAGATGTAAAAAAGTTTACCACTTTTATTCCCAGGCTTCCTGGTAAATTGATTTTTTTGCGTTTTTACCCCACCTACGAAGGGGGTTTTAGGGTTTTAATCGAATTCAGCTTTTTCGTAAAGGTTTTAGAGGTCAACTCTATGACAACTGTACTATATAATAACGTATATTTTTGGTTCCGCATAGCTTTCCGAAAATAGAAGTAGTACTTAAGAAATAATAGCAAATAAGTTGTCATCTTATTATTATTCACTCTCATAAAATGTGACACGATAGTTTCAGTCGCAACTTTTATTAATGGTCCATAAAATCAATGCACATGCGAAAGCCGGTAGATTTGACCGTTTCATGAGATGTTATTGTTGTCTAAAATATGTTGTGTAGGCGTGTCGAGGAAACCTCATTTTGAGAAAGATCTGTATATTTTTAGAAGGCAAACGTTTATTTCACTGACACTTTTTGTTAAATTCATAGGCAGCAATAACACATTAAGGAAACTATTAAAACTTTTATTTAATATCCTATCATTCGCAAATAAAACAGACACATTTGTAGAAAACAAACATAAATTTTTAGAAATATTATCCACATTATTTTTAAAAATTATGTAGGTTGAAAATTGTATAGTTTTTACTTTAATGGAATTTGAATTGGGTTCTGCTTGTATATTGTAAAGACGTAATAGGTAAATATCAGTGTGGATTTCGTAAAGAAAGATCATCGACCGATCAAACATTCCTTTTAAGGCAAGCTCTGGAAAAAACATATGAGTATGGCATTGATACTCATCACCTGTTTGTTGATTTTAGATGTGCCTATGATGGTGTTGAAAGATACACATTGTACAAGGCCATAATAGAATTCAGCATTGCACTACACTTGGTAAAATTGGTGGAAGCGACCCTCTCAAGAGTCGAGTGTAAAGTTAAAGTGCAGAACGGAGTTTCCAGAACGTTCCAGTCTCAGATAGGACTTAGACAAGGAGACAGTCTATCATGCCTTCTATTCAATATTGCGTTAGAGAAAGCGATAAGAGAATCTGGAATAACAACCCGAGGAACTATTATTAATTGCAGCGTACAATTACTAGCGTACGCCGATGACATAGGAATTATTACAAGAAGAAAGACGGACGTCGTCGAATCATTCAAAGCGCTTGAAGAAGCAACAAAAAGAATAGGACTAGAGGTTAACACTAGCAAGACGAAGTATATCAAATTATATACAAACAGCACAACCCGAACATTAAACGTTCGGAACATATTCTTTCGAATGAGTAAGACAGTTTATATACCTAGGCTCACAAATTAATCAGAATAATGCAGTAAGTGCAGAAATTAACAGACGGATATATCTGGCAAATAGAGACTATTATGGATTAATAAAATTTTTAACAACAAGCCTAGTTACAAAAAGAACGAAACTAGTGATATACAGAACTCTTATCAAGCCCATCCTCACCTGACGATGATAAAGAGCGATAAAGAACGTTTAAGATGCTTTGAACGTAAAATCGTTCGGCATATCTATGGAGAAGTACAGGAGGGCAGATTATGGCGTAGACGCTATAATTTTGAATTTTACCGCGTGTATGACAAACCTGATATCAAAATAAACCGGCTGCGGTGGTTAGGTCACATAGAGAATGAATGAGATGGAGCCTCCAAAACATATTTATAACCAAAGAATAGATGGAGTGAGAAGGAGAGGCAGACCCAGAGCACGATTTAAGGATCAGCTGAAGGAAGACTTGAGAATGTTGGGAGTACGAAACTGGAAAGCCAAGGCAAAGAATATGAGAGAATGGAGACTTATCCTTGAGCAGGCCAAGATCCACCATGGGTTGTGGAGCCAATGAGGATGATGATCTGCTTGTACGTCACAGAAGAATTTTACAAAATAAACGATACTGATCTGGCTGTTATCACGAAGCAAGGGCAGAGTTCCTTTATAGGATAATGCTACTGTCTTATCCACGTTAAAAGAGAGTAAATTAGAGTCGGACCAGGTTTTTATTTTAAGTAGATCAGAAGTTATAGTTGCATGAAGAGTTGCAACATTAGAGTTTCTCCTTGTAATACTGGTATCATCAGCAAAAAAAAATTTCCATCGATTTGTTAGCGATCACATTTATAAAGATAAGGAAAAGTAGAGGACCTAATACCGAACCTTGTGGTACTCCACAAACAATGGTTTTGTGACTAAAGTCAGTATCATTTACTCTAACTAGTTGTTTGCTATTCCTTTTGTAAGATTGGACCCAATTCAAAAAAATACCTCGAATTCCATAGAAATTTAGTGTTTTTATCAAAATGTGATTTACACATTCAAAAGCTTTGGCATAGTCCCAAAAAACAGTGCCAGTCTAAAGATTATTGTTTAGTGCTTGATAGACCGGATATAGTACAGAAAACATAACGTCACTGGTACATTTTTTAGATAAAAAGCCGACTTACTTTGTAATAAAATGTTGTTTTCACCAAAAAAGACATAAGTCAGGCTTTTATAAGTCTCTCAATAATTTTGGATAGGACCGGTAATAAAGCAATAGGTCTATAGTTGCAGACATTCGATTTTTCACCACCCTTATGAAGAGGAATAATAATGGCTGTCTTTAGGCAATTTCGAAAATATACGTTCTTCAAAGGAATTGTTAATTAGTGAGACCAGGAGTTCCAATACATTTTTTGGGAGATTTAAGAAAAGTTTTATGGATAGCCAGCAGTACTACAGGAAGATTTGCTTTTGATACTACTGATTGTTTGGATCAGTTCAGATTTATCAACTAGTCTTATAAAGAATGGATTAGAGACCTTTAAATAACATCATAAAAAAATGAATATGAAAAAAACAAAAATAATGACAAGCACAGATCACCCCAGACGTATAATTATAAATGGCAGTGAGATAGAACAAGTCCAGGAATATATCTACTTAGGCCAAATCCTGAAACTTGACAAAGAGAACCAAAGTGCGGAAATTACTAGAAGAGCAAGACTAGCATGGGCAGGATTTGGAAAACTTAGTAGGATACTTCTTCTTCTTAAAGTGCCTATCCGTTCCGGATGTCGGCGATCATCACGGCTATCTTTACTTTGTTTACTGCAGCGCGGAACAGTTCAGTGGTAGTCGTATTATACCACTTTCGTAAATTTTGAAGCCAGGAAATGCGTCTTCTTCCCGGTCCTCTCTTACCATTTACCTTTCCTTGGAGAATCAGCTGGAAAAGGCCGTAACGTTGGATACTTAAAAACCGCAAAATATCTGAATGCTTGAGGAGCAAAGTGTTCAACCAATGCATCCTTCCTATCATGACATATGGATGTTAAACCTGGACCCTAACCAAGACAAACATGAATAAACTAGCCACAACAGAAAGAACAATGTAAAGAGCAATGTTAGGTATACAACTGTCAGCTAAAAAGAGGAACGACTGGGTAAGATCAAAAACAAAAGTCGAGGAGATAACAACAAAAATTGCCAAACTTAAATGCAGCTTCGCAGGCTACACTGCTAGACAAAAAGACCAACGTTGGAATACTACAATACAACAAAATACCTTACGAAAGTAAACGACCAAGAGGAAGACCACAGATGAGATGGGTTGATTACGTTAAAAGAATATCCGGAACAAATTGGAAATATGTCGCTTAGGATAGAGACCGATGGAAGAAGTTGGGAGAGGCCTATGTCCAAACATGGACGATAGAAGGCTAAGAAGAA